CCGGGCTGAGTGGAGGTGGCGCAATTATGGCTCACCAAAGCCCTGAACTCCTGGGCTCAAGCGACCCTCCCACCTCTGCCTCCTGAGGAACTGGAACAACAGGTGTGCACCACCATTGCTGGCTAATTAAAAAAAAAACATGTAGAGACAGCGTCTTTCTATGTTGCTCAGACTGGTCTTGAACTCCTGGACTCAAGCAATCCTCCAGCCTCAGCTTCCCAAAGCGCTAGGATTACAGGTATAAGCCACTGAGCCCAACCAGAAGGTTTTAATTTTAACAAAGTCAAATACATTTGCTTTGTCTTTTTTTTAAATTTTCTGTTTAAGAAACATTTGCCTACTTGAGGTTCATAAAATAATTCATCCTATGGTTTCTTTCAGATGATTTATTGTTTCAGTTGTCACATTTACATATTTGTGCCATGTCAGATGAATTTTTGTATATGGTATAAATCAGTGGGGTGGGGTGGGGCGGGGCAGGGTGTTGTACTCATTTATTTTCCAGCAATGTTCGTTCTGCTCTGTCACTATTTGTTGAGCAAATCACTCTTTCCCCCACAGATTGCAGTGGCTCCTTTCTCGCAAGTGAGGAAATATGTTTGAGTCTCTTTTTGGACTTTGTTTTGTTGCTGTTTTTGTTTATACTTGTGTGTATACCTCATTTTCTTAATTACTGTGGCTCTGTGGTAAGCCCTCACTTCTGGTGGCATAATTATTCCACATTTATTCATTTCAAAAATTGTCTTGACTATCCTACATCCTTTGCATTTCCATTCCAACTTTAGAATCAAGTTGTCAATTACCACACACACACAGAAGTCTGAAGAGATTTTAAATTGGATTACTAATGGCTAATCCCCAAACTTAATACAGCTCTTCATTTATTTAGGTCTTTACTTTCTCTTAGTGATCATATGCACTTTTCAGTTTAGATGTCTTGTACAACTTTGTTAGAATTATAAGGTAATTGATTTCTTTCTTTGAAGGTATTATTTATTATTGAAGGTATTATTTGAAGGTATTTAGTTAATTTTCGAATTGTTACTAATGTATACAAATACAATTGGTTTTCCTATATTGACCTAGTGTTCAGCAGTCTGAATAAATTCACTTATTAACTCTTATACTTTGTATATTCTTTTGGATATTTTTATGTATATAGCACGTTATCTGCACATAGTTTAGTTTTTGTTTTCAATTGTTATTTCCTGTTCCTTCCTTCTTTCCTTCCTTCCTTCCTTTCCTTCCTTCCTTCCTTCCTTCCTTCCTTCCTTCCTTCCTTCCTTCCTTCCTTCCTTCCTTCCTTCCTTCCTCTCTCTCTTTCTTACTTTCTTTCCTTTCTTGCATTGCACTGGTTAAGACTACTAATACTATACTGATAAATATGAGTAGTGATCATTGACAATCTCATTTTGGTTGTGGCAGTGGGAAAATATTCAATATTTCATCATTACACATGATGTTGCTTAAAGATGTTGTCATCTATTTTTAATTTGTTGAGAATTTTTTAAATCATGTATTGGTGTAAAACTGTATAAGTCTTTTTCTCTATTGAGATGGCCTTCTGAATTTCCTTCTGAATATTAAAGTACACAGAATGGCAAAGTACACTGATTGATTTTTAAATCCTTGCATTTCTAGGACAAACATTATTTGGTAGTGATGTACTAAACTTTTAATATATCACTGATTTAGTTAGATAATCTATTTTAGAATTATTTTATCTATGTTCATGACAGGGCTTAGCCTGTAATTTTCCTTCCTTGCCACATATTTATCAGAGTTTGGTGTCTGAGCATGCTATAGCTTCATAAAACAAACTGGGGAAATTTTCATCTCTTCTACTTATCAAGAGGTTTGTAAAATAATAGTATCATTTCTCTTGTAAATATTTCAAAGGAACCACAAGTTCTCTGGGCTTGAAGATTGCTTTGCAGGGAGCTTTTAAAATGCACATTAATTTTCTGTAATAAACATAAAATATTCGTATTTATTGAGGAGTTTATCAATATTAATCTTTTCAGGGTACCCATTTGGCTTTGCTGTTTTTCTCTATTGTATTGTATTGTGTTGTATTTCTACTTTCTGTCTTATTTCTGCACTCATCTTTATAATTTTTTCCTTTTTGGGGGTTTAATTTGCTTTTTTTCTATAACTTCTTGAGTTGGAAGCTTAGTTTATTGATTTCAAACTTTTTTTCTTTACTAAGATATGCATCTAAAGCTGTAAATTTCTCTGTAAGAATTGTCTTAATTCCATTCCATGAATTTTTATTTCTCAATTTTCATTTTCATTCAGTTCAAAAGATTTCATAATGTTTATTGTAATTTCTTATTTGACTTACATGTATTATTTCAAAATATGTTGTTTACTTTCCAAATATTTGGGAATTTTTAAGTTATTCTGTTTTAAATTTCTAGTTTAATTATAATGTCATTATACTTTATGTCTGAGAATATGCTCAACTTAGGTAAGTATTTTATGTGTACTTGAAAAATATTTGAATTCTGCAGTTGTTGGCTGTAATTTTCTGTATTTGTCAATTAGATCAGTGTAGCTGGTGGAGTTGTTCAGGCTTCCTGTATTCCTACGGAATGTTTTGTCTGCTTATTCTGTTGGTTGTTGAGAGGGGGTTCGCCAAAATCTCCAATGATGAGAATAGATTTAAATTCTATCAATTTTGCTTTATAAATTTTGAAACTGTTTTTTAGAGTGCAAAAATTTGGGATTGTTATGTTCTCCTGTTGAATTGATCTTTTAGCTTATGAAATATCCTTCCTTTTCTCTCATAGTATTTTTTCCTTAACTATCCTTAAATATAATTTGTGTGATAGTAATACAGCAATATCAGCTTTCTTCTACTTTTTGCATGGTATATTTTCCTTTTCTTTTTCTTTTTAACGTATCCACTTCTTTATGTTTAAAGTGTGTCTCCTGTAAATAGCATACAATAGGCCTTTTATTATCTAGTCTAATAATCTTTGCTTTTAATCATAGTATTAAGGCCATATGCATTTAATGTAATTACTAATATAGTTGGGTTAAATTTCATAATGTTGCTACTTGTTTTCCATTTATTCTGCTTGTTCTTTGTTCTTTTCTCCATTTTACATTATATCACAGTATGCCCCAGGTTTCTACATTAGCATTATATATTTTGTTGTTAAGGGCTCTACCATAGTCCATTGCTTTGATGTTTCACAGCTTACTGAACCATTAGCTATCATTTGGTTTTCCCAGTGATTTTGCTATTACAGATAATGCTGCACTGAACATTGTATATGCAAAACTATCTCATTTAGATGTTATTTCATTAGGGCATATTTTCAAATGAAGAATTACTGATTCAAAGAGTAGAAATATCTTTACAATTCTTGATACAATTTGGTACCTTACTTTTCCTAAAAAATTATTCCAGTTCACAAGGCTATTGGCACTATATAGGGGTAGTGCTTTCATTGCAGTCTTGCTAGCACTGTGAGTTTGTTTTTTAATTTAAAAACGTTGTGTAGAAGAGAACTGAAGGGGTACCAGAATTATGATTTTCATTGCCATTACTGCATATAAATAAACAGAAAAAGAGAAAGTTATTTATGAATGAGCTCATTTCATCTACAAGCTAGACTAAGATTCCAAATTGCTCTGCTTCTATTTTTGCACACACTTTGACTTTGGCAGTAAGCCCTTGTAAATAACTCTTGGTAAAAGAATGTATATTTATGACATAATACGTAAAGTGGCATATACATTTTATTTGGTCCTAATAAAACTATAATTCACAAATAAAACTAAAGTAGGTTTATAGAATCGGGGGAACAGAAAGAGAAAGAGGAGAACCAATTGAAAACATGCTTAAAAGCAGAGTGAATGCATATTTCTAATTTAAACCTTATTTGAATAATCTCAAAATAGACTGGCTGCCTCACTGAACTTAATGAACTTTTTTCTCAGGTGGATGATAGTGTTGAGGGTCAGTGGAAAAATCTTAAGAGATTTTTTATAGCATGATCTAAACTGCATAAAATGCAGGATATTCCCTCATCAAAAGTGCTCTAGACACTTACTAAAAACTAAGTTTCTCGACATTATAGTCCTGTGATCTGGACCTGAAAATTCAGAGTTCAGTCATATTTTTAAAAAGCACAAAAACAACAACAGCAGAACCTAAAATAATAGGATAGTAGAGATCTTATTCATAATCAGCATCCCTCAGGGGCTTCAAAATGCACTGAAAATTTGGTTTTTCAAATTTAAAAAACAATGCTATGAAATGTCACTGTTGAAGTTGGGAACTAGAAATTGGCTTTGAATAAGCAAATCTATCGTTTGGCAATTTTTCCTTCTAGAATCAAATCTCAAATCTTTATTCAGTTTATGACAAATATCAACTCACCTACTAGTAAAAGTCCAAATATTTTAGCATATTACTATTGGGGTAAATAAACATAAGCTGCTTTTTGAAAGTCTTTCTTGTCCACAGGTAATTCCTTAATTTATATCATCATACTGTTCTAGAAAATAGTATATTTATTCAAACTTTCAATCGTCCTCAATCATGTTGTTATAAGACAAAGCTGAATGGATAAAGCTAGATGTGTGAGTGTAGATCACATCTGTCATAATTTTATCTTCCTACAACAAATGCAAATTAACAATTTTTAAAATACCTAATGCCTAAAGAAAATAAATCTGCCTCAAAACATGAAGTATTTTATAAAAATCTGAGGTGACTCTTATGAATATATAGAAGAAAACAAATCTGCCTCTTCCATACTCTTTCCATTTAATGTTTTAGTTCCATATACCAGGGTAGTAAAATAAGTCCTTCCTTTTTGATTTGATCAGCGGACAGCTGCAAGCAGTCAACTTGATTTAACCACCTACAACCAGATTTCTCTCCCAAGCAATATTCCTTCATCTAAAGTTTGGTTTATTGAAAGAAAACAATATGTTTATGTGAAAAAAGAAAAACAGAGTGATCTTTTAAATTGATTCTCTAGGAGGTGTTTGGTTACCGGGACCACAGTGTACGCAAAGCCCTCTGCCTTGTCGCATCCGTGCTGACCTGTGGGGTCCTTCTGCTGCTGTTCTACTGGAGACCCCAGTGGAGAGTGTGGGCCAGCTGCATCCCATGCCCTTTGCGAGAAGCAGACACTGTTTTGCTGAGGACAACAGTGCGTGCCCTTCTGTTTTCTATTTCAAATGCCATGACCGTGTCTTCTGTGTTGCCTCTGTGGCACAACTCTGTGGCTGGTATTATATTTCAGAGGGTAGATTTCCTCTCTTTAAAGAGTTTCCGTAGATCAGAACAGGAGATGGCAACGTTATCTCTGCAATCCATTTGCTGTCTCTCATTTTGACCCAGGAGTGAAGAGCATTTCTTCCACTTCCGCTTGGGGAAATTTCGACCCCATCAGGCCAACAGGGGGTGCTCTTTGCCATTCCATGAGCAGTGGCTGTCAGTGTTACAGCTTTTAGAGACCATAACATGCGAATGGTCATTCAGGTTTTCAAAAATACGTATTTTGGAGGATATTACACATGTTAAAAACCTAGATGTCACTTTAATATAGCTAGAAACTATTTTCTGGAGAGAAAGCTTTCCTGAAAAATATTATCTTTCCTTTTATTTTCTAGCACAGTGGTCATCAAATTTTAGTGCATATCAGAATCATCTGGAGGGCTCATTGAAACAAGGGCTGCTGGCCCCACCCAGAGTTTTTAATTCAGTAGATCTGAAGTGGGGCTGAGAATTTGCATTTCTAGTAAGTTCTGAGATAAAGCTGATGCTCTTATTTGGGTCAAAGTTTTGTACCAAACTTTGAAAACCGCTTGTTTAGCACTTGGTAGGTATTTGGTTGATTGAGCATCTTATTGAATAACACTTGAGAATTTCATGAACTGGATTGTCTTTTTCCAGGACAAATTTCAACGATATATGAGGAAGAAGGTATTCTGCCTCGACTTATCCACACTGAAGTTTCCTGTAAGCAAGAAGTGGGAAGAATCCTTGGTGGCTGACTGCCATTCTGTCATAAACCAAGCCTTAATAAAGCCAGAATTAAAAGTAAGTTACTTGAAGAGTACAGTGTTATGCATGTTTGCAGAGAAAGCATAACTGTTTATTAAATGAAAATTCCGAATAGCACACTTTTGGAATGGGAATGACAGCTATGTATCAAAGAAAGTGAGACTGGCTGGGCATGGTGGTTCATGTCTGTAATCCCAGCACTTTTGGGAGGCCAATGTGGGTGGATCCCTTGAGGCCAGGAGTTTGAGCCCAGCCTGGGAAACATGGCAAAAACCTCATCTCTATTAAAAATAAGAGTAAAAAATTAGCTGAGTATGGTGGTGCATGCCTGTAGTCCCAGCTACTCAGGAGGTTGAGGCAGGAGGATTGATTGAGCCTGGAGGAAGGTCAACGGCTACAGTGGGGTGGCTCATC